GCAACACGAGTTCTACTTAAAAATGGACATATGAGGAATGTACCCTTACCAGCAAGCAAACATAAACTAAAATGAAAGGCCATCAATTAAGAAATGAGGTCACAAAATCTGAATAAGAATGAGGGAAAGCTAACTCTTCTACAGGCTAGCAAAAAGAAATATCACCACAGCACCTATGGAGGAAGTCCAGCACACAGCATCAACCACCTTCAAATCACACACACACTACTGAAACCAAGAATTCAAGTTTCACTCATGAATCTTGAGGAAATAACCTTAAATACTGCACCAGGGCCCGGAGTCACAGTCTAGTGGGTAAAGTCTTCATGTTGAGCGCGCCGGGATCCCACATGGGTGCCAGTTCTAATTCCAGCAGCCCTGCTTCCCATCCAGCTCCCCACTTGTGGCCTGGGAAAGCAGTCAAGGACAGTCCAAAGCCTTGGGACCCTGCACCCGCGTGGGAGACCCAGATGAAGCTCCTGGCTCCTGCTCAGCTCAGCTCCAACCATTATGGCCACTTGGGGACTGAATGATTGGACAGAAAATCTTTCTCTCTGTCCCTCCTCCTCTCTGTAGATCTCACTTTCCAATAAAAACAAATAAATCTTTTAAAAATATATTGCACCAAAAAAATGGCATTAACTGCACACTGAAATGAATCTAGATGTCTACAAAGAGACTATCTGAGATAAACAGTAAGAACATTTTTATTTAGGAATTGAATCTTCAAATAGTAATATTCAATCTCATTTCATAAACTTCGGGAAATAATATCATATCAATGTAAAATATCACACAATTACATACAGTGTGGACTTTCACGTTTGTTTTTGTAAATGTACAGACAAAAAGTGAAAAAAAAGTCTTCATTACCTCTGAACAGCCACATTATGGGGAGGGGAGGAGGGCAACCAACCAAATTCTTTTATATGAATTCATATGCTTGTAAAGCCAGACAATCATCTAAAATAACAAAAGCCATAGATCTCCATGGCTCACTGTGCTCACACGGCTATAAACATATCCCTTTGTGTGCAAGGCTCTCGCTGCTATAATCCCACTGATTTTAGGAAAATGTCCTTTCTTCCTTAATGCTTACTGAAGTGGACTTTCTACTGCGTGCCAACACGCTCTTGTAGCATCTCACCTCAGTGCCTTAGCCTGCATCCCCTTCTCTACCTGGCCAAGGTCTCTTATCTTTGCAACTGCATGAAAAACAGCACTTTCTCTAAGTCAGTTGTAACCCTGATCAGATGGTATTTCTCATTGTCTAACTCCTGCAGAAAATCTTTTAAGACTGTCTTACTCTGGCCCAGCGCAGTGGCCTAGCGGCTAAAAGTCCTTGCCTTGCACGCACCAGGATCCCATATGGGCGCCGGTTCTAATCCCAGCAGCTCCACTTCCCATCCGGCTCCCTGCTTGTGGCCTGGGAAGGCAGTCGAGGATGGCCCAAAGCCTTGGGACCCTGCACCTGCATGGGAGACCCGGAAGAAGTTCCTGGATCCTGGGTTTCGATTGGCACAGTACTGGCCATTGCGGTCACTTGGGGAGTGAATCATCAGACGGAAGATCTTCCTCTCTGTCTCTCCTCCTCTCTGTATATCTGACTTTCCAATAAAAATAAAATCTTAAAAAAAAAAAAGACTGTCTTACTATAATTTGTATTCATTTTAAGGCTTAGCCTCTACTAGACTGTAAGAGGGCTCTCTCCTGTTTTACTTCTTTCCCTTCATCCTGAGACACTGCTTCCCAGAATTAAAGATGTTGTACACTTGAGGAAATGAACAAATTCTTATCCTATGAGATCAGTTTTAGACATGAGGAAGAGGAAGGAAAAAATGTGGAAAATGGTTTTCATTTGGGACTCAGCCTGGTCCTTTTCATTAGAAACAATGAGAAAGCAATTATCACCATTATGCACTTACTATGTCTTTTACTTTTTTACTTGCTAAAAGTATCTCCATAATTGGTCACTTTCTGTGGACAAAGAAATGTGCTTGGAATTCCCAAGAATCTACTTCTAAGCAAATTTCCAAAGTACAGTTAGTGCTTGAAGTGATAATCTTGCAGATAATACTCTTCTTTAGGAAAAAAACCATGTTTGCTTAAGTCTGCTTTAAGCCTCTTATGAAACCAGACACTGTTAAAAAGTGAAAGAGGAAGAAGGAGAGTAGGTAGGTTAAAAAAACATGAGCTAATTTCTAAAAAACAAACCTAAATGAAAAAACAAACAACAACCAAAAACCCCTTTTTACCTCTTTCCAACTCCCCCTTTATCTGACGCAGTGGATCAACCAACTGAACATGTGTATGGTGAGAAAGGTTTCTCTATTTCATTTCCATGTAAGTGTTTACATTAATATTCACCATGCTATGTGTCTAATCTATACACATGAGTTCCTATATACCTATGTGTACACTTGAGGACAAACATACTTGCTGCCACACAGCACTTGCATGGGAATACATCATGAGGACTGTTCTTCACTAGACTTTTGTGGAAGAGGATAGCCTCTTAGGAGAGTCCTTAATATAAAATTGACCTAAACTTCTTGTCTATCTATTTAAGGAGTGGTATAGTCATTCAGTGCATATGTATTGGGAACTGTGCTTGGCATACACAGGTGACTAAGACACACAAGGCCTCTGCCCTTAATTTCTACAGGTTGCTATGGAACATATATACATCTACTGGATAAAACAAAAAATAAACTAACAAATGAACAAGAAAATCGCAGCTTATGCTAAGAATTATAAAGGAGGGAAAATAAAGCAAAGAAGCTATCTTATAATCACAGAAAGTCTTTCAAATATATTCAAACCTTGAAAAGAAAAACCAATCTATCCATGCACAGCAATGGTGGAAAAGCCTTTAAGGGCTAGAGAAGGGGAAAGCTCCCAAGATGGAAGCAGACTCATTTCTGTCTTAAGAATATGGATGAGGCAGTGTAGCTAGTCATGTTTTTCAAATCATGGGTCACGGTTCTGATTGTGATGTCAATTTTGTGGATCACTGGATCTTTTAAAGAGAAATTCAATTTTAAAAAATCAGAGAGTCACAAGTTTTCAGAACACATGTTCCTTCATAAATTTTGGCCTCACTTTGGGGAGGGTGTGCATGTGTGTACTGGGGAGCAAAGTAAATTCTGTCTCATTGTGTGCAGTAGTCTGATGTGTACAAAAATGGAGGGGTTTGGCTTTACCTCATAAGTGACCACGAAGAGTTGAGAACTTTTTCAAGGCACCAAGATGGGGAGCAACATGATCTAACTGACTACTCGTTGTCACAAGATTAATCTAGTTAAATTTACTAACACCAGGGATTTTGAGCAAATCACTTAATCTCTCTAGATTTCACTAACTTCACTTTAAAAATGAAATAGTGACAGAAGATAACCTTGAAGATCTTGTTTCTTGCTACAGTTCTGACAATATTTTGTGTCTTCCCTTGGTCACAAGTAAATCACTTTTGGAGACTTACTAGTTCATTATGTCTATTCCTCGGTTACTGCTTAAAATCTTCACAATATAGGGCGGGGGAGAGGTGGCTGACAATATGGCATACTACGCAAAGCCACTGCTTGCAGTGCCCCCAAACCACAGGGTAACCAGTTCGAGTTCTGGCTGCTCTACTTCTGCTCCAGGTCCCTGCTAATGACCTTGGAAAAGCAACAGAGGATGGCCCAATTGCTTGGACCTCTGCCACCCACAAGGGAGACCCAGGAAGCTCTAGGTTCCTGGCTTCAGCCTGGTCCAGCTGCCGCCATTGCAGCCATTTGGGAGGAATGAACCAGCAGATGGAAGAGCTCTCCCTTGGTCTCTTCTTCCTTTTCCCTGTAATTCTGGCTTTGAAAGAAATAAATTGTAAAAAAAAAAAAAAAAAAAGGTATAAATCCTGTAACTCTAAGTGTTACACTTCTGTAGAAACCATGTATGAATTCTGTGTTTGCTGGAACAGAGTGATGTTATTAGAAATGAGATCTCTAGGCTAAAAGTGAATCAAGTGCTTTTGCAACTCTCTGATGCAAAGTTTGGGGTGTGAAGAAAATTGGCAAGGAGATATGAAAAGACTTACTGACCAGGCTATTTGGAACAGATTTGCTTATTTGTTCTAGGTCATCAACTGATGTATAATCTAGGACAGTTCAAAATTACAGGGAGCCTCTGCCAAGCATTGAAGTCAAGATGTGGAAGTTTAAACTCCTTTTACAGAAACCAAAATGACTACCGAGGTGAAGCATTCATTGAATGCGTGTTGTATGAGGATAGCACCCAACAGTTTAATTTTTATAATTTTGTTGTGTGCATTTTGCATATATGGAAAGAAGCACAGAATAAACAAACAAGCTATTCAATGCCAGGGTCAGGGTAGATTCATTCTTAAGGTAGGCAACTTATAGCTCTCTTCTTAATTCTGCATTTCTGGTAACTTACCCTGCACGCTTTTAACAATGACTATACAAGTATTAAACCATCGGTTAAGTACTTGACAACTAAGTGCCTGTGACATCTAGACACAGATCAAGTAGTAAATCAAAACTGAGTTCACAGGTGCATCAATCCTTGTGAGATGAACATGTTTCAGCACTGGAGGCCCTATGCTGCAGCTGGCAGGCTGGGTTGTCTGAAGAGGAATCAGGTGAAAGAACCCAGAACTCTGCATGGCTGAGCTAAGTACTTGTCAAGTTTGCAGGTTCCTTTTGTCTAGTGCAGCTAGTGAAAGGCCAGCCCAGGAACCGTACAAAGGGTTGGTAGAAAGCCAGCGATTCCCCACTTAGAAGAACCCGGCCGAGGAAGAGGGCATCAGGAGTACCACCTGTGTGCCTACTTGGTGCGGTGCGGCACGGAGAGGAAACCCTCTGAAGTACGCTGAGCATCCCGCCTGGGGCGGACCGAAGGGTCCCCCAACAGCTGCCACAGACACCCACACAACCCCTGGCAAAGTTGGAGGGGGGATGCTCGGTGCACACCTTCCTCACCCGCGACAGTGCAGTACCCACCTGTCACGTACTCAGCTTCGAACCTCCTTCGGGTCTCGGAGATGAGCCTGGCTTTGATCTGTGCGTGATTCTGGATGGGAGAATGACGGGACGTTAACAAGGACGCGTACCCGCCCCCGCTTACCAAGCTTACCCTCAGCCCAGCCCACCTGCACCTGGCGCACGGCCGCCTGGGCCTCAGAAGCGTCCTCTGGGCCCAGGCCGGCCAGCGCCTGAGTGCTCCGCTCCTCACCTCGGCCATGGCCGCACTCAAGGACGTGACTGCCTCCGCTTTCGCCGTCGTCACTCCCACCGCCGCCGCCCCGGTATCTCATCACCCGCCAGTCCCGCCCGGAGGTAGACAGAGGAGGGCGGGAGGGGGGCGGTCGCGTGACACCTGCGAGCGGACGGAAGTGCCACGGCGCCGCCCAATCCGATGAGGCCGCTTGGCTCTGGTGGCGGGACCGAGCGCTCAGCCGGAGTCCCATTGGCTTCTCGCCGGGGACACGCCCCAGGACGCGCCCCGCACTGCCGTCCCGCCCCCGCCGGCCCCGCCGCACTCCGCCCTCAGCCTTGCACAAGCCTCGGCCGAGGCCCGCCTCCTCGGCCGCCGGGGCCGCCGGCGCTGACGGTCGGCTCCCCACCCCCGCCACGTTCCGCGCAGTCTCTGACCTGGCGTCGCTGTGCGTGGTGCGCTGGCGGGAGCTTTGCAGGCGCGCGGCGCTGCGTCCGAGCTGCGTGTGGGGAACCAGGCGGTTTGGTGGAGGTAAGATGCGGCCGGCGCGGCTTTGCTCCCCGGTACTTGATGGAGAGGGCAGCCTCGCTGGGGTTGGTCCCCTGCCCCTGCGTTCCGGAAGAGCGGGAAGAGGCTTGGATCTTGCAGGGAGCGATAGGGGGATTCTAAGTCCTTGCTATATTGGGGAGTTGTTTTGCTGGAAACAATCATTCCTTCAAACATCTTTGCAACATCTTTTACAGCTTGAGTCAAAGTTTAAAAATGAAGTGGCTTTTTTCTGTTTAGTGATCGGCTTTCCGACCTGAGAGAGCAATTCTGACCAGCCCCTCCCCCACCAGGGGACCGTTGGCAAGGTGTGGGTGTGCGAGGTGCTGCTAGGCCGCAGGAGTCACCTGCCATGCTCGGGACACATTGTATCTGTTAACCCCAGCCCGGAAGGCGCCGTGGAGTGCAGAGGCTGAGGAAGATTTAGCTTAAGAAAATACTGTAACCAATCTTTGGTTCGACTGTTAGAAAGTGATAGTAGAAAGGAAAAGATTGTTACCCTTGTTGATAGTGCAAAGATACTGAAAGGGAACTTGGTAACACAACCCCCCCACCCCACCCCCGCTGATGTAGAACAGAGGATTAAGCCACTGCTTCCAACATCAGCATCCAATTTGGGTACAGGTTGAAGTCCTGAATGCCCCACTTCCCATCCAGCTCCCTGCTAATGCCCCTGGGAAGCAGTGGAGGTTGGCCCAAGTACCTGGGCTTCTACACCCACGTGGCAGAGTGGTGTCAAACTCTCCCTTGCACTGTCTAACTCTGCCTTTCCATAAATAAACAAAATCTTTATAAAATCTGATCTCCATGTTTCTGTTAGCTGTAGCCAGCCATGATAGTGTGGCAATTTAGTAAACATCGCAGGCATTTTTATGTTTACACTTTGTGGGGAAAAAATGGTTTGAATATAATCATTACAAATATTCAGACTTAAGTGAAGTGTCTCTCCGCCTCCACCCCTTGAGCTTCCTGTCCAAACAAAGCTCACTGGGAATGTGGTGCGGACTCTGCACTTCCACTCCATCCAAGAGCACTGTCCTGGCGCAAAGTGGCAGTGTGGGCCTGGTGTATCACACGTTGTCTGTAGGCCTGCAAGAAAACACTAAAACTTGCAGCCTCAGTTTCCGAGTCTGTGAAATGGGAAGATAATATTGCCTACAGTGTAAGGCTGTAAGAGAAAGAAGTGGTTGGAGTAATACCTGTACTATTCCCAGAGACAGCGCTCAGGCAATGGAGCTGTTACAGAGAAGCAGAAAGCACATCATTCTCTTTTGCTTCATGTAAACTAATACAGCATATACTTGTCTTCAGTTTAATTAGTTTTTTATTGATTTTGAAATCTGGTCATCATGATAGATATATAGGTAGATAAATGTCAACCATACATTTCACCCTTTTTCTATTACACAGCATAGTGAATATTCTGGAGCAATGTCCTTGATTATTAAATACTGTCAAGTAGATCTTTATCTTTCAATTGTGTGATTTCTCTTTTTGAAATCTTTCAGTGGTTTCTCATTGCTAGGAGGAAATTGTTACAAGTCCTGAAGTATGGTGAAGCGTTCTTGAACCTAATGTTCCCTGGCTCTCGACCTCCAGCGAGGTCTCCCCCTCCACCCAGGGGCGTTGCCGTCTGTTAGACCATGTTGGGAAAGGGAGAGCTTTTCTGGGTAGGTCCCAGCAAAGAATTTCTACCTGTATAGGGAGAAAAGTTTTACCAGCAGACATTTGCCTTAGACTGGCAGTGTTGTGCATGTTAGAAAAGGAGCATCTATTGGGCCTTTGTCCACAAGATTTTGCTCAGTGTTAGTGAGGTTCAGGAGAGGTAAGGTGTCTCGATTCTGCTTTCTTTCCCTCCAAAGATGCTTTCTGTTGTTCACAATCAATTAGGGTTCCTCTAGACTGCTCTTCTATTTCATGTGCAACTTTGATAGTGCTCTTCTGGAGTCTTCCTGAAGCACACTGAAAGTTTGTTTCAAGATTCCTGGAATTCATAGTGCCCTAATAAATTCATTAGCATTTAAAGGGAACTTCCTGATTATTGGGTAGGAAGGTCAGTAGATAAGAGTGCCTGAGGATGATAGTACCTTGTCAGCCTACTGCGTTTACATTAGCATTTATATTTTTCTAGTATATATGTCCACAAATATTCCATTTTCATATGTAAAGTAGATATACAGTGGAGCTTGATGTATGATAAGACATCAAAGAGCAGGAAAGGTCAAATTCTGTGATAAAGTGAATCTGAGTTACTGTTCTCTGCAGCCACTGGTGTAATGGGACAGAGCCTTGTGTCCTGAGCATCAGGGGCTGACTAATCAGCATTGCTTATGCTGGATTGAGAACCTTAGATTGGATCTTAGCTCGCCTTGCTTCCAGATAACCTTTCTGTTAAAACTGAGTGCCTCCTAGAGCAGACATTTGGCTTGTTGCTTAAGTTGCCACTTGGGATACTGCATCCCATATGTGGAGGTCTGATTTCAGTCTCAGCTATGTGCAGCTGGAGGCCAGGGGATGGTGGCTCGAGCCCTGGGATCCCTGCCACCTGCGTGGCATGGCAGGCCTGGGTGCTGGGCTCTCAGTTTCCACCTAGCCCAGCCTGGCTGCTGAGGATGTTTGGCAAGTGAACCAGGGGGTGGAAATTTTGTCTCTTTTTATTTAAAATGAAAATGCATGCATTAAACAAAGACTAAATAAATGCCTCTTATTCTAAAGGTCTGCAAGTTTTGTGAACATATGCTAAGAACTTTTAAAATAGATAATTCAGTGAGAGTATTTAAGATCTACTTTCATGGCAATTAAAATACAGTAAAGCTACAAGAAATTGAAATTTAATTCATTTTAGTAAATTAGACTTAACATGGAACAAATCCATTACAATTAAAATAAAAGGAGATTGGTGCATCAGTAGCAAATATAGCCAGTATACACATGAGTATGTAAGTTCGGTAAACCAGGGGGTGACAAGAAGTATGTGGAAAATAAATACGTTTATATATTAATGGTATCTAATTTGTTAAACTTTAAATGCCATCTATTTTGAAAATGTGCAGGTGTTTGCAATAATATTTGGGTATTAGATAACTTTTCACATAATAGTCCTGTGTAGTTCCAGGGCTATGTGAATGAATCCGTGAGAATATGTTTACATTTTGGCCCAGAGGGTACTCAAAGGAGTTAGGGTGAGAACTTGGTAACAGGGTTTTGAACACCATGCTGAGCTTTACAGCCATGGTCCACAACCTTTCTGCACAGTTTTTTCTCTTCACAGCACCTGGCTTTCTAGGTGATCATTAAAGGTTCCCAGATCTCTTGAGAAAGGCGCGGGGCATGCCAGGGCTCCGGATGAGCAGAAACTGACAGAGTCACGTGTGTGTTTTACAATAGTAGATGGGGTAGCAGAATTAATCAAATGAAGGAGAGAGGGACCAGAACAAAGAGCCTAATGAAGAAGTTTTTGTTTGTTTGTTTGTTTGTTTTATGAAGAAGTTTTTACCTCAGCCTCAACTATAGTCGTGACAAACAGAACAGAGTTGAAAAGCATTTCTAGCTTGGGGAACTTGATAATATTATGAAAATAGCACTGCATTATATGTGTGTATTGAAATATCAGCTTGTGCCTCCTAGATGTAAATGATTCTGTATCAAATAAAAACTACAAGGCAAAGAATAGTATAAGTGCCTGATTTTCCTGAGGCCCAACTATTGGATAGATTTTCCTTAATCGTATCGCACTCAAGTTATTGGTCAATGAACTTAGTTGTGACATTGAGTATTAAAGCAATGGAATCCTTTCAGAGTTTGTAGGTTGTTTTGGTTGTTTCTAATACTTAGAATTCTGACAACCTTTGAGAAGGCAGGAAAAGAAAAAGAACTCTTTTTGCATTTTTGTTTTTAATATTGTTTACATAGTTGACATGGTGCGGAGGGTCAGGCATGGAGGCAGGTGGACGGGACAGATGTTTCAGTTCTTTTTTACCTCCTGTGTCCACTGGGTATATAAACCTAAGAAACCTGACACGTCTGAGGGAAACTTGAAATACGTTGTTAGTTAATAGACTTTCATGTAATGTATGTTTGTTTTCTTTAAATTCTAGTTTCACAAAAACATTTGACTTACCTACTTTTCTTTATGGATGAAGTAAAACTATCTGTGGTGCTTATTGTCTCTGATCTTGGTATTCAATCGTTGCCCACTACAAGCCAATAAGAGAGTGATTTGTCCTAGTTTTGCACTTAGGTAGTGTAGCTCCAGGTACTTCAGGTGCTGGTCATGAAACTCAATAACATCAGTTCAGTTCTTGGAGCGAGTGCCACAGGATCTTGGCTTGGTTCCCCATACTGGCGGAACATACTACAGGCAACTCTTGGGACAGTTCTGCATCCTAAGATGTGTTAGTTGCCTATCAGAAATTAAACATTGCATCTGTACTGAACATGGACACCCTTTTTGGGGGAGGTAGGGACAGCTATCTGTAGCATTTACATTGCAACAGTTATTAGCACTAATGTAGAGAGGTGATTCAAGTTATACAGAACAAGGTACGTAGGTTACAGTGGTTGGTCCCTCAGTATGTGTGGGAGAACAGTTTCAGAACTCTTCTTAGATACTAAAATCCCTCTTAGAAAACAGTGTGGATGCACAACTTCCCCTATACTTTAAAGCAGCTCTAGCTTACTTGTAACACCTGAGACAACATACATGCTATAGAATTAGTTGTACCATATCACAGTCATCACGAGAAGTCTGTATGGTTAGAACAGATATGAATTTTTTTCTGAATGTTTTCAGTCAGTGGTTGGTTGACTCTATAGATATAGAATCCACAGATAAGGAAGGCCAAGTGTATGTATGTGAACCTTCTGCCATTTTAGGGAAGAAACTTGAGCATTTACAAATTTGGATGTTTGTAGGGGGACTGGAACCAATATTCCACAAATACGAAGGGACAACTATACTCCAAAATTTAGCAGCTTGTAATAAGACAAATTTATGGCCTTCCCACTTCTGAAGGTCTGGAATTTGGGGACAGCTTGGCTTGTGCTTCTAGCTCTGGATCTTTCCCTGGCAGCGTCCTTACTTGATGGTGTGACTGGAGCTGGAGGGTCTGATCCAAGAAGGCTCACTTGTGAAACCATTGGCAGAAGGCCACAGTCCTTTCCTGGTTGTTCACGGCAAGTTGTAATTCCTTGCTGTGTGGATTTCTCTCCCAGGCTGCCTCAGTGTCTTAATGGTGTGGCGCATGGCTTCTACTAGTGTGACTGATCCAAGAAAGCAGTTAGAAGGAGAGTCACTATGCTGATTCTAACCCAGTCACACAATGTTATTTATGCCATATTTTGTTGGCTGGAAGGGAGTCACAATGCCCACATCTCATGCAGAAAGAGAGAAAAACTTTTTCTCTGATGGAAAAAGTTTAAGAACATGGATGCATATTTTAAAATCACAAATGATGTATCTGGAAGTTAAGCAGTAAGATGAACTTTCCAACTCGAAAATAGATGCTGGCTAATGTAATGTACCTGTAAGTAGAATTCCCTCTAAATCAAAGTCATTGCTATCAATTACTGCTACATTGTTAGATTGGTAGATTATGTTTCACTATGATACATTGTTCTAATCCACTATTAGTATATTTTTATTATAAAAGAAAAAACAACTTGGGCTTTGGGAGTTTGCTTCCATTTCAATAACCTTCCATTTAAATAACCTCCTTTTTCAGTTTTCTGAAACAGCTGAATTGCCTAGTGTACAAAATGATCCTCAAGAAAAGAGTGTACTTAAAGTTGTTCATAGTTGCGGGGGGCGGCTAGCCCTCTCAGCGCTCACGAATCATGAGGCCTGTGACTCTTCTGATTCTAAAGTTAGATGTTCTTTGAAGCAGAATTGGCTGTGATGATCAGTGTGATGGTAGCAGCCAGCATTCATTGAGCAAAGTACTCTTCCCCCTTACATGTGAGTAATACATTCTAGTATCTCAGAAGATGCCTGAATTTTTAGATACTACCAAATCCTATATATCCTAGGGTTTTCCCTGTGTGCCCTCCAGTAGTGTTGCACTGTACCAAGGTTAATCTGTCATTTCATAGTTGGGCTCTGCTGCCTCCTTTGTGTCGGTATTGTGCTTTGGGACTATTATTAAGTAACGTAAGGTTCGTTTGAACACCAGCATTGCAGTATCCTGTTGATTAGACTCGTGGGTGATGATGCACAGTGTGGAGGCACTAAACAAAAGGAGATTTTGTGTTCTGGATGTAACAGGGCAGGACAGTGGGAGACTTTCCATAAATGGCATGCATTTTATATTATATAACTTATTTCTGGAATTTTTCCATGTAATATGTGATTGATCATGCAGCAAACTGTACAAAGCAAAGCTGTAGGGTATGGCTGTGTGGGTGGCAGGGAGAGAGGGGTAGCTGCTATATTTCCTGTATGACAGGCTGTATGTCAATTGCTTTGTGTGATCTAATCTTGGTACCTTGTAGGGTAGATGCTGTTACAACATATAATGTAAATGTGGATGTGAGGTACAAAGGGATGATGGAATGTGCCCAGATCAAACATTTAGGGGAAGACAGACCCAGTTCTGCTTGGCATGTGTTGGACCTTCAAACACCATTAAAGGAATGACTCAGTATATATAGAGAACATATTCTTTTGTTATATATTCTGTTTTGTGAATTCTCTTAAGTACTTATGTAATGAGTTTCTTCAGAATAAGGGACTGCATACCAGCATGGTCTGATGGTTAAAACTGAAGACTTCAGCATCAGAAGGCCCATCTTCTAAACCTGGCACCATTGGCAATTGGTACTGTCACTGTAGGTAAGTGTTATGATCTTAGAAAAATGTCTTACGTTTGTTAAGATTTTCTTGTTTTCAAAATGGAATCAGGTGATACTTAGATGAAATAATGCATGAATTGTATGTGGAATGTAATAAACATGAATGATTAATAGCTTTATGTGAATTATATTTATCATAAGTTGCGTCAGTCTTCACCCCCTCACACAAAGAATAGTGACTTCCTTAATATAAAAAAAGTTATTTTTATCAACTTAGATTTATTTTTATTATTCATCAGAAACTTTTTAAAGCTTTGTTATAGCAATTCCTGTTTTTGTTTCTGTATTTTGTTTGTATCAGAGAGCCCAGTACAGGCTCCTGTCTCTGGATCTGGTTGAGCTGTAAGAGCCTCCTACTTCAGCCATCACCATATTTGGGAGGAGTATGAGCTCCAAGACATGTAAATCAGTGACTAACTGAATTGTACTTCTAAAGGGATGAAAGCAGAGGCTGCAAAACCGGATTAGGGCTGTTCAAGTTGAAGCAGAGCAAAGTAGAACTCAGGAAGAGTCTTGAGCTAGAAAGAATCCTCTGTATTCACATGCTATGTTAGCTTTTTGGATATTGGTTATTTACAGTTATAGCTATTTGTTTTCATTAAAGAAATGTATAGAAAAAAAATACTTGGGCTGTTCTTTTCTGAAAGGTGATGTCACAGAGGTATAAAAACTTAAAGTGGGATTGGTGCCTTGGTGTAGCAGGCTCAGTGTTCTGCCTGTGGCACCAGCAATCCATATGGACACCAGTTTGTGTGCTGGTTGTTCCACTTCTGATCCAGCTCCTTGTGTGTGCCCGGGAAGGCAGCAGAGAATGGCACAAGGCCTTGGACCCTGCACTTGCACGGGAGATGTAGAAGAGCTTTCTGGCTTCTGACTTTCAGACCTGTCCACCAATGAATGGAAGGTCTTTCTCTGTCACTGCTCTCTGCAAGTCAGCCTTTCAAGTAAAAATAAATAAGTCTTAAAAAAAAGAAAAAGCTGCTCCTTTCTGCTTCACTCTGCCACCATGGTCAGTGTCCCTGAGTCTTTCTTGCCAGATCTTCTCACAAGACCTTCAGAATCAAGAGATTTCTTGGCCAAAAAACAAAGACCAAATTCCCCCATACTCCAAAGGATTTGAATGAAAACTGGTACTAGGGTCAGTTATTACTCCAAGAGGAGACACTGGAGAAGAACCAAGTGGGGTCTGTGAGGAACTGTGCTTCAACAGATGGGACAGCTGTTTTGTTCTGTATCAACGTCACTGTCCTTTTTTTTTTTTTCTTAATGATTTATTTGTTTTTATTGGAAAGGCAGACCAGATTCACAGAGAGAGACAAAGAAATATCTTGGTTCCACTGATTCACTCCCCAAGTGACCGCAATGGCTGGAGCTGAGCCGATCTGAAGCCAGGAGCCAGGAGCTTCTTCCAGGTCTCCCACACGGGTGCAGGGTCCCAAGGCTTTGGGCCATCCTTGACTGCTTTCCCAGGCCACAAGCAGGGAGCTGGATGGAAAGTAGAGCTGCTGGGAAATGAACCATTGTCTATAATGGATCCCAGCATATGCAAGAAGAGGATTAGGCCACCAAGCCAGTGTGCAGAGCCCATTCTCTTCTTGATCAAGCTTAAGATGTCACAATGTCTGGTCAGCTGGACATGTTTGGGGCTGTGGGTAGTGGGTTGGTTCAGTAATAAACATGTGAGGCCTTTTGAGGAAAAAAAGCTTACACTGCTCATTTAATGAAGTTGTAGTTACGTGGTATTTCGGTAACAGAAACATGTGTTTTCTTTTCAACCCTGCCTAGCTCATGGCAGCTTTTCGTCATTCATTTCTTTTTTAGATTTCATAGCATCAACTGGAATCAATTTGTATTTCAAAATTGAATCAACACAAAGAGTAGATATTGTGGAATGACTAGCAAACAAGCGCTGTCATACAACAACCAAGAAAGGGTCTTGTGTCATAATGGTGAAGTCCTTGTTTTCCAGTTGTGCACGAAAAATTTTGCAGCTAAAGAACATGAAAAAACACCTGTGTTACAAGTCCGAAGAATGGTATTTGACATAGAAACAAGAACATTTGTTCAGAAATCCACAGGGATCTTCAGATTAAATAAAGAAAAAATCTCTGATTTTAAAATCACATGTTGCAACTGTGTGTCAGATTTCAGAACTGGGCTCAATCTCCCTTACATTATGATACAAAGCAATAACGATAGTACCGTTATCCGATACTTGTTACTAGTTCTTCACAGTACTAATACATTTGAAAAACGATTGAGCTTTAAACTTGACCATGAATTGAAGGACAGCATAAGGGTCCTTAATGGCCCTTCAGTTTTATGGCAATATGTCAATACAGTCTTCATTATCTCATCCAAAACTGGTAATGTTGTTAGTGTCCCTGGCATCTTCTCCTCTGTTATGTGGGCAGGGGAAATTGGAAATCTAGGTACAGTGTTATTGGGACTAAAGGAATGCTGTTTTTCAGAGAAAAGATCCCAACAGCCTTCAATAGCAGATTATGAAAGTTGGAATACCAAGTTTTGTTTCTATGCTCTGGAAAGTAAAGAAATACTAAGTGATGCCTGTATCATCCCTGCTGCATATAGCAATGTGACTTATGTACATGTCTGTGCAGCCAAGATGGTCAAGAATCAGTTACATGTGTCTCTGCTTGCCCTGACTGAAAACAATCAACTGGTTTCATTCCAAAATGGGACTCCTAAAAGTATATGCCAGCTTCCGTTTGGCGATCCTTGTGCAGTTCAACTTATGGATTCAAGTGAAGAAAAGCTCTTTTTCATTGTGTCATTTAACTCCAATGATGCTTGTGCTGTTTGGGAAAACAACTTTCAGGTACAGTATTTACTCTTAACTCTAAGACCTTTTAGCATTCCTGGGCATCATAAAATGATGATCTTTTTTTTGCCTTGCCATTTTGAGTGATATTCTTTTTAGTTGTTTAATGATGTGCAAATGCTTAACCTTAGTTCTCTTTTAAGATGATTTTCTAGTTTGTATTAATGTGATAATTATTAGATGTGTATTTTTCACTTACATTAAGATTACTGGGGATTTGCCTTCTTACATTTTTTAGAAAACTCAAATTGGATATTCAACTTTTGAAAAGTTGACAATTATTTACATTAAACTTTCTCTGAGTCCTTTCTGAAATGAAATATAGGGAAATTCTTGAAATGTGTCACTCTGGCTTTAGAAACAAATAATTGTGTTCCAGTGACAAGAAATATTACTTTTTGAAAACTGTCACTGAGAGATTTTTATGATACAATTTCTAGCTCAGAGCTGGCCTTGGACCAAGCATTCATGTAGTATAATCTTTTACTTGTAGGTTTAGAAATTGCTTTAAAATACTCATTAGTATTGAGTATTTACTGACAAGTTAAAAAAGCACAGGAGGGGATGGGAGTTGGAGGGGGGAATCCCAGTCTCTATGAAATTGTACCATAAAATTCAAAATAAAAATCTAACAACAACAACAACAAAATACGGGAACTAAAGAGGCAATTGGAGGCTTGTAACTGCCTCCAAACACAGTACTTCTCTTACTCTGACTTCTGATTGTTTTTTAACATGAACACCTGCTCATTTGGTTATGTAATGGGAAGAGTTCCTTTATCAAGCCAGATTATTCCTAGTAAGAAGTGTTTCTTCTGGAATTAGTACACTTGTTAAATTTTGTGATACTTCAGGATAAAAAAAAATACACTTCCCTTATTTTGTGTGCACTAATTAGGAGTCCAACCAAAATTTTTATCATTTTTTTGTCACCTTGGTCTGGAGTATTGATAAATGCTTTACAAAGTTCAAGCTGTATTTATTAACTGAGAATCATTATTTTGTGTGTGGGGAAATGCCACACTTGAATTATGCTCTATCTGGGCTTACTTGATAAACTCCATTTCTGGTAATAGGGATTATGTTCAATCTCTTTAATCCACATTCAGCTTCTATAAGACACAGAGAACTTCAATTCTCAAAAGGAAGATAACTGGAAAACTACCCTATCTTATTTTGAAAGTAATTTTTTTAGGAGCACACTGTGTTTTATTTGGAGCTTATGTGGGAAATAACATTTTCTGTCTTTTTCTATTTTCTTTTCCTTGTAGGAAATGGTGGGAGAGCACCATCTGGTATACTCTCTCTATTCCATACCAGGGTCAGGGTAGTGCCAAGAACACAAGCTGGGTTTGAATCCCGCTGAGCCCATTACTGGTGTTAACCTCAAGGGATAGGTTTAATTCTTGTGAACTCATTTTTCTCTATAAATTTGGGATCCTCCTACATTAAGGCATTGCAAAGTGTCTGACACAGTGCTTAGCACACACAAGGAGCTTAGTAGAGGTAGCTATTTTTATATTAGGCAAGGGCTCAGACTGTCAACCTGCCCAAAGATATAATTTGGTAAGGAGAAGCATTCCCTTGAATTCCATGACTGGAACAGACTGTAGTCTGTACTGCTCTGAAGCTCTGTTGCTCTCAGTTCATCCAGAACATAAGATGGCGTCACTGCATGTGGATGGGTATGCAACTGCTGCCTTTCGGAGTGGGATTTGTATTTTAGGGTTCCGTGCAATGGAGCACAAAATGCCTGCGGTTCCCACTGACTCTCCCCATGACCTCTTCAGGGGTCCTGGTCTGTTAAACTAAACTGCTCTCATTGAACACGTTTTGAAAGCTCTAGTCACACAATGACATCTGCAAGTGCTTGAAAATCATATCGAACCTGGCATCCCTGGGCATTTGACGACTCTGTGTTACGTTTATTCCCATTTACTTCAAAAGGATGTAGCCTAGAGTGAAATATGCAATTACTTGGATAATAGGAAGAAAGAGAATCTCAAAGTAAAGAGAGAGGGGTGATGGTCATGTCAGAAATGCTTAGTGAAAAGAAATAATTGTATCGAAGCAGTTACACTTAGTTGAGCAGTTAAGGCAAAAAAAAAAGGAAATGCAGTGGGTTCTAAGTGAACAAAACATGCTACAGGGAGATATATATATTCCAACATTGAGTTCTAAGAGTAATCTACTATTTGTAGTATTATTAAGAGGTTCTGGACAACAAAATAAATAACAAATTGCTGGGGCCTGTGTTGCGGCATATTGGGTTAAGCCACCATCTACAATGCCAGCATCCAATATGGGCACCAATGTGAGTCCCAGTTGCTCCATTTCAGGTCCAGCTCCCTGCTGACAGCTTAGGAAAAGATGGCAGTGGAAGATGGCCCAAGCATTTGGGCTCTTGCACCCACCTGGGAGACCCAGGTGCTCTTGGCTCCTGGCTCCAGCCTGGCCCAGCCCTGGATGTTACGGCCATCTGGGGAGTGTACCAGCGGAGAGGTCTGTTATGTGTCTCCCTCTCTGTATGCAACTTTTACTTTCAAATAAATAAATATTTAAAATAATAATAATGACAATAATGAAATGCAAGCAACAGAAGCAATCTTCTTTGGAATTGGCTATCGTTCATCTCACTCCAAGAAGGAGTAAACTTACAAAGAAAAGCAAGCAAGCATCAATTAGAGTAACTAATGAAAATCAAGGGCAGTGTGTTTGCAGATCTGTCCTTCAAAAAAGCCTCAGGCCCTGAGTTTAATCCATTCATAAGAGTTGGAGCAAAGGTGGTCTAGAAGGATCCGTGATTAGCTTTTAGGCTTTCTCTTTTGCATAGAAATTGTTCTGACAATCTATATAGCAGACATTTCAAACCTCAGATCATTGTCAAGTATACCTGAAACCTAGCTTTTTGTGTGTTGAACCACCAGTCACATGTGCTTGTTCACCATTTGCAACGTGGCTAGTCTAAATTCAAATATGACATAAATGTCAAATAGACATCAGAACCTCAGTACAGAATGGAAATCAAGTATCAATATGTATTACATGGGATTGAAATAATGTCTTGGATATATTGGGTAAAATAGTCACTTTTTCATTCCACCCAGAGAATTTAAAGTTATATACGTGCCTGATGTTTGTGGCTCAGCTTTATTTCTGCTGGACAGTACAGTTCTAGAGCTGTGGGTTGAGACTGTGTATCTCTGGCGTTTGTATGCTCGTCACGTTCTTGCTGCTTCTGTCTCTTCACATAGTTCTTTATACTGTGTGATATTTGTGGGAAAGGGGTGAGGGTGAGGAAGAAGAGGGCTTATTACCAAGCTGCCTCCCTGTGCAAGTTAAGAATCACAGTCTGAGAAATTAGCCTTCTGGGGGCACAGCTGGTATTTGGTTGCATACAGTGAAGAGCCTTACTTAGTGCTAAAGCCAATCGGGCATATTATATATATAATCTCTCCTGGTCAACTAAGTGCAACCACTCAAATACTGAGCACCCTCCTGAATCGTCTAGATGACACATCTTGTGTGCCAGGGCTTCTCAGCCTTCTTTTGTCTCAGGAAGGAGATCGGATTCCCATGGTGTTACTTTTCTAGGGGATCAGTCTGGAAGTTTTCAACTTTATGCTCCCCTTTAAGTCATTGACTTTTAAATTTGGGGTCTCATGTTCTGATAGACTACCAAAACATTCCACTAGGCTGGGATGCTTCTACGTGTTCTACCGTTAAGGTCCCTTATCTTATAAAAGTGCCTACTAGTACGTACCATTTAACTAGCATAATTGAATTCCTTGAATAATTGGTCTGATCATAAATATGTATCCGTTAAGGCAGATGGGATGAGGGTTCCTCAATTAGCTGTGTTGGAGAAAGACTCTTTAGTAGAACTTTACTCATGAATCATGTTAGAATTTCTAGAAGATGTAGTCAGGAGACATGTTAGGATTTAGGAATAGATTATAACAACATTTCAATGTACAAATCAGGGATATGAGTAAATAATGTTTAAATCAAAGTATCTTGCTGTTTAGGTAGGTGTTATAACTCCTTGTGTTTTCTGGTCTCCCAGTTCCTCAGTTTAGTTTATATTATAATTTTATTTCTCATTTGTAAGATTGAGGATACACTGTGACTACATAGAACAGGAAGACTTGTTAATTTGTCTCATACTTGATCTTATTTTTGGTTCCTCCTTTACTGTACTCTTTTAGATTACTGCTAAGTGGCAAGAAATTAACTCAGTATTGATAGATGACTTTGTGGGAACCGGAACTGAACAAGTGTTGGTGCTCTCTAAGAACTTGAACTCAGACTGCTTGAGTTCATTTATACTAACGGATCTCGGCGAAATAAACTATTCAGTAAGTTCTGTTTATTTACTGTATGTTACTTTAAGAAACACTTTAGAAAATTTAACTGTTTAAATTTTTGATACAACATTTAAATATTTGTGATTCCTTATGTAAACTTTGGGGTTTTAAAAATAGGTTGGTTCTTGTTTCAAGTAATGTCAATACAATTTGACCATGCTTTAGATTATTAATTTGGTATATAACTTCTAGTGGGTACTCGCTACAATAATATTATAACTTCATTTTTGCTTCTGAGCACTGCATTTTATACCAAGAAACATGGTAATATTGGATTAATTAAGGACTGAAATGAACAAACTGTTTTATTAAAAAGCCTCCTCCTGCAAGGCCAGCATCCCATATAGGCAGCAGCTTTAGTCCTGGCTGTTCCGCTTCCCATCCAGCTGCCTGGCTGTGGACTGGGGAAGCAGCAGATGACCCGAGTCCTTGGCACTCTGCACCCACATGGGAGACCCGGAAGAAGCTCCTGGTTTCTGTCTTCAGCTCAGCTCAGCTCTGGCTTCTATGGTCACTTGGGGAGTGAACCAGCAGATGGAAGATCTTTCTTCTCTGTCTCCCCTCTCTGTAAATCTGACTTTCCAGTAAAAATAAATAAATCTTAAAAAAAGAAAAAAATATGAATAGCCTTATATTTTGTTGTTATTCTTATGATTTGCCTTGACTGGATAGAATTTAATTGTAGATTGTTAATCTTACTAATTCTCTATTTCAGTTGAAGTGTGTTTTTCTCTTTTTATTTGTTAGAGTGAACCATTGGATCTCAATGAAGATGCTGTATTTGAAGGCATGCAAGATAATCGTCGCTTGTTGATTTCACCTCTTCGAGGAGAAGTGAAAGTTAGTGTCTTTTCGCTGGGTGCTTTTCTAAATGAAGTAAAGCACATTAAAAGAACATTGCTTAATGTTTAAGCTTCTTAGTGCTTGGGAGGTAAAATGGTATTTCAAGGGAACTTTATCTTTTTGTACCTTTGTAAAAATTATTATGTTATTACTTATAAATGTGTTATCTGAAACAGATACTCTTTTCTAGTAAGGTTGTGCAGATTTAATAAGCTTTGTGAGAGAAAATATTGAAAGTCCATTTTCTGGTCTGTAGGATCATTGTACCATGGTATATTTTTTAGGGGGCAGTGAATATGATAAATCATGATTCATTCTGCATATGAATAAGCTTTCCATATAAAGCCCCCTGAAGTTTCTTTCCCCGCCCCTGAATATACCAAGGTAACGCCCATTACCTGCAAAATACTGGAACTATACAAGGAAATATTTAGAACAAAGTAGTTATCTGAAATTGAATTGCTGATCTATAACAATTTTTTTTAAATAAATTATTTATTTTTCATGATACAATTCCTTAGGCTCAGGGACTACCTCTCCCCCATTCCCTCCCCACCACTGTTTTCCCCTATAACAAATGTTAATGCTTTGACATGGATATTCCTGTAGATATTTATGAATCTGTATGCATTTACATTGAAAACCATAGGGTGTATGTCCTTTTGTAACCTACCTTTATGTGTGTAATAATTTTCAAATATATAGAAAACTGCTAAGAATTCAGGGTATGTAGTCCCCACGTGAATTCAACTATTGTTACTTTTAAAATCATGCTTAACCTCATCCATATGTGTGTGGGTACATTGTTGTAGAAACATTTGAAAGTTGCTAATTTTATTCTACTTTAGTCCTGATGTATTTCAGGGGCAATTTTCTAAAAGAGAATTTATATAATAGGAGATCACTTGATCTCCTGTGTATTCACAATGCCATTGTTAGTTAGAACAGTGGTAATGATTCTTTAATCTTAGTATCTATTCTATACCCAGTGTATTCAGTTGTCACAAAATGATGTGTTTTTTTTAAAGATTTATTTATTTTAATTACAAAGTCAGATATATAGAGAGTAGGGGAGACAGAGAGGAAGACCCTCTGTTCATTGATTCACTCCCAAAGTGGCCACAACAGCTGGTGCTGCACCGATCTGATGCCGGGAGCCAGGAACTTCCTCCAGGTCTCCCATGTGGGTGCAGAGTCCCAAGGCTTTGGGTCATCCTTGACTGCTTTCCCAGGCCACAAGCAGGGAGCTGGATGGGAAGTGGAGCTGCCAGGATTAGAACCAGCGCCCATATGGGATCCTGGTGCGTTCAAGGTGAGGACTTTAGCCACTAGGCCACCGTGCTAGGCCCATAAAATGATGTTTGTAGCTTCCTTTTTTCAATATCCAATCAAGACTTGGTTTGAATTATAATATTTCCCTTTGGTCATTTTATGTAGCATAATTCCACCCTGACCCTTAAAATGATACAAAAAGTGCCAGCGCTGTGGAATTGCTAGTTAGACTTCTGCCTGTGTTGCTGGCCTCCTATATGGATGCCAGTTCAAGTTCTGGCTGCTCTTCTTCCAATCCAGCTGCTTGCTAGTGTGCTGGGAAAGCAACAGAAGATGTACCAAGTTCTTGGGCCCCTGCACCCACATGGGACACCCACAACAATCTCCAACCTCCTGGCTTCAAACCAGCCTAGCTCTGCCAGTTGTGGCCATTTGAGGAGTGAACCAGCAGATGGAGGATCTCCCTGTCTCCCTGTGTGTCCTCATTTCTCTGTAAATCGGCCTTTCAAATGAAAAATAGATAAATGAATCTTTTTGGGGGAATGACACTAATGAGGAGGTCAGGCAATTTGTACCTCTTGGTTTATCTAAGCCCTTGTAGAGCCATTTAACATTTTTCTCTGTCCTGGAGTTTACAAACTTTTTCTGGATAGGATCAGCTGGTAACTCTTGGTACCTTTAGAATTATTTTGCAGTTTGACTTATTAAAGTGAATTAATAAATGCTTGTGTAACACATACCAGATATGATTGTGAACAAAAGACAAATAAAGTGTCTTAATAGACAGAAAACCAGAGAGAAACGGTCTGACAAGAGAAATCTTCAAGAAGTTTGTGGGAAAATAGGGTTAAAAGATAAGTTTAGGGACTGACACAGTGGCTCAACAGGCCAATCCTCCACCTGCAGCATTGGCATCCCATTTGGGCACTGGTTCTAGTCCCAGATGCTCCATTTCCAGTGTGGCTGTCAGCCTGTCCTTCCCTCCAGTCCTTGGGCCCCTACACCCCATAAGGGAGTCCTAGAGAAGCTTCTGGCTCCCAGCTAAGCTCCAGCTTAGCTCCTGCCATTGCAGCCATTTGGGGAGTGAGTCAGCTGTTGGAAGATATCTCTCTCCTTCTCTTTGTAAATCTTCCGTTCAAATATAAATAGGTAAATATTTTTGAAAGATGCTTCTTTTGATGCACAAAAATATATTCTTGGATTATTTATTTTAAAGACTAGGTGAGAGAGAGGAAGAGACAGAGTAAAGTAGATCTTCCATGACTGGGTTACTTGACAGATAGCAACCACCACAGCCAGGCTGAAACCAGGAGCCCAAAACTTTATCCACGTCTCCCATGTGGGTGGCAGGACCCTAATCAGTTGTGTTAGCAAGCAGCAGCTTGGTGGGAAATAAAGCAGCCAGGACTCAAACTGTCACTCCAGTGTGGAATGCAAGTGTTACAAGTGGCAGCTTAACGTGCTATGCCACAATGCTTGTCCTCATAAAAAAGGAATTTTCCAGATCACATATATGAGGCGTATGTAAGAGGTTCATGGAAGCGCACATTATGAAAAAAGGTATATATGAGTTTCAAGTCTTCCTGACCAAAGTAAATGTTAATTCTTAAAAATTTCCGTACCATGAATGAAAGGACAATTTATAGAAGAATATATTGTAACATATGACAGGCTATTAATTTCCTCCATGTGAATGTGCATTCTTATATAGTGTTGTTGAGTAAGTATAGTGGCCCAAACTTCTCCGAGGAAGCATATTATAGTTATTAAAATGTGGATTATGCATGTCTTTGTACCCTTGTGCATTCAGTTCTAGAAATCTGTTTTAAGAATGAACACAATCTTTCCAGAGTGCTTGCTTATATAGTGTTTATAAACTATGCTGTTGGTCAGAATTCAGATGCCAGTCATTAGGAGTGTAGGAAATGAGTTATGATATAGCGGAATCATGGACTACTACCCTGTCAGGAAGAGTAAGGTTTATCTTGGTAGTGATTTAGAAATGATGCCAACACATACAAAAAACCACCAACAACACTTGCTGGCGAAGATGTGGGGAAAGGGGAACCCTACTCCACTGTTGGTGGGACTGCAAACTTGTATAGCCTCTATGGAAATCAGTATGGAGGATACTAAATCAATTGAAAATCAGCATACCATATGACCCAGCAATAGCACTCCTAGGAATATATCCAAAACACCTGTTTTATGAGAAACCAACAAACCAACATGCACCCCTATGTTTATAGCAGCACAATCAGTAATTGCAAAAACTTGGAAGCAACCGAAATGCCCATTAACAGAGGACTGGATAAGAAAGCTATGGTTCATCTACTCCATGGAATACTATCAAAAAAAAAAAAAATGAAATACAGTTCTTTGTGGCCAAATGGGCCCAATTGGAATCCATTATGCTAAGAGAAATGAACCAATCCCAAAAGATTAAATACCACATGTTTGCCTTAATCTGAGATGAAAAGTTGTTAATCTGGAAAATAATACCAATACATTGTAACATTATTGCAACTTCTGACAACATGTATCCAATGCAATAAGACAATGTGTTGTAACCTATAATACAACAATTAATGTGAGTCAGAATGCTTAAGATCTACATCAAAGAACTGTAAAACCTAAAACATTCTTAATACCTTATGTTACTCCGTAAATGGTGAGGGAATGCAGAGAAATCCTCCATCTCCCTAATAAGTGAGTGGAAGACGTGAAACATTGCCTATCAGGATCAAATCTGATAACCCATAGACAACAGACTCGAAACGGCACTAGACAATAGCAAAGCTACACAGGCATAAGGGGGGAAGCAGGAGCGACCCTGAAAACCCCTAAATAGGAGGTCGTGCATATGGGGCAGAGGGGAGACCCCAGAGTAGAGTTGGGGGCCAGAAGGAGGGTCGCATCCCAACCCTGAAGACTCCCAGATCCTCACCAAGGACCGTCAACACAGACACCAAGGACTACATCCCAACCACTAAGGAGACCATGGGGAATAGGAGTGCCTTTGGAGGCTGAGAACTCTGAGGTCACCCACCCCCATCTGGAGCCTCCACAAGGGATGGAAGAAGTCCAAACTCTGCAGCGCAAAAACCAGTGCCATCGGAACGACGGCCAGGAGTCCTGAGCAATCTGCAGAAACAGAATAATAAACTTCCTCTGGGAATAAGGAAGCGAACTCTCTCTGGTCCTTGCCTGGCTCTGGCTCTGGGTCCCCACCCTCCCTCACGGTGACTATTAGAATCACTCCAGTAACCCCTCAAAACAAACAAACAAATATACATACAAACAAAAAGTCTAGAATGGACAGACAACAACATGGAAAGCTTAGAATCAGACAGGAAACGCCCAGCATGGACCCAAACAGGCCTCACTAGGTGGGACACAAAGATTAGTATCACCTCACTAGGGTATTGGGGATTTCTCTGCACACCCATCCTAAATTAAAAAAAAAAAAATGTATTGTACCTAAACTGATAACTGTATGGAATCAGGTTGAATACAAACCAAAATTGAAATGTCTATGAAGAAGTCACAGAATGTAGTTAAGAAACCACATCTTCCCATCAACATACTATTAATCGATGTCATGTCAGTTGATGCCATGAGGTTGTAAATGGCTGTTGAGGGTATGTGGGGCCTTTAATCATTTGGGATGAAGCTTAGCTGGACTTACCTTCAGACCAGAGATGGTCTCACCAAGAAATCGCTGAACCCACTAAGATAATAAGACACTGGACTTTATGCTTGGTAAATATTTCCAATGAAAGAACCACAACTGAATTTGAACTGTGGTAATGAGCAAGGTGGAGAAATCCACAATGGGGAGAGGGTTCAGGGAGGGGTGGGGGGAATACCAGTGCCCATAACACTGTGTCACATAATGCAGTACAATTAATAAAATAAAAAAAAGAAATGATGCCAAAATAGTTTAATTTATGAATGCATGACTTTGGGAAAGGTTTAATTTGTGAAATAGGACCAGTCCTTTTGATAAAGAAGACAATGGCAGATTAAATAATTTGTAAAAATCTACAGGCTTCAGAAAGCTGACAATATGAGACTGACTTCGCCCCACTACTTCAATACATGATAAAAATAATTCACTTCCCTTAGATTTTATTTTAAATGAAAGGAATTTCTAAAATGAGTACATGTTGTTTTTAAGCAGAAAAACACGTTTTTATTAAAAGATTAATACTTAACACCTCAGATATCCATCCAAAATGGAAAAAAAAAAAAAAGAAAGAGAAAGCACTGTCAGTTTGTGGGTAAAACTCTGCATTTTCAGTAGCAAAAAAATGTTTCATGAATTGTTTTCATCCTTAATGCTGAGATCTGTTTAATGATTATATAAATGGAATGGATTGCTCTATGCCCAGTTTAGGGAAAAATATCATTTTTTCAGTTTTTAGTGATTGTATACCTTACTGCTGAATTTTTTAGCACAAAAATGAATTTGTGAGTTTGGGGGCCATTGTGTGTTCCATTTAAATTTTCCATCTGAAGGTTATGTGCACAGGACATCAAGCTATCAAATTTGAAGTGTTCCGTTTTAATTCACAGTGTTGCCTTAATGTAAGTGTTTTGTTTTTGAAACGGAAAATACTTCAAAAAGAGTTTGTGTCAGGATACAGGGGTTCATAGCGATGGTTAGTTACTTAACAACTCAGTAGTAAAAGATCCTAATATGATGGTATTTGTTCGCTTTCATGTATAATCTCTCTACTGCTGTTACTGGATATATTTTCTTTTTGAAAAATTACCATTTTTAATTAAAGATTTAAAACCTGTCAAATGAAATAATTTTACTCTGAGAAATATTTTCTGATTTCTATAAGGAACTAAATTGCTAAGCACATTTGAAGAAAGTTCTTCCTGAGTTAATGACGTATCTGGTTTCTTTTAGAATTATAGCTTTGACAAACTATTTTTCTTTCTACTTTATAGGGTGGTTTAGCTGGTATTTGGGAATTAAAGAAGAATCTCTTGCTGAAGGACAAAGTTATCTCAAAATCATTCAAAGCTTTATTGAGCATAATACAAAGGAAAGACAGTAACACATCAGGTACAGAGGAGGTAAAGTTAATCCTATGCCCATTTGGTCTTGTTATGAAGGGGCCAGCGTTATGATGTAGCAAGTTACGCCACTGCTGATGTTTCAGGCATCCCATGTGGGCACAATTTCAAAATCTGGCTATTCCACTTCTGATTCAGCTGCCTGCCACTGTGTCTGGGAAAGTAGTGGTAGGTGGCTCAAGTATCTGTGTCACTGCCATCCAGGGAGGAGAGCTGGATGAAGCTCCATACTCCTGGCTTTGGTGTGACACTGTGAGCATTTGGAGAGGGAATTGGGATGGAAGATCTCTCTCGCTCTCTGTCTTTTTCTCTCTGTAAAAAAGAAAATGTACAAGCTACTGAGTTGCTTCAATTGAAATGTATTAGAAAATGGATATAGTTCTGTAGGGCATTAAGTCCTAGTTAATTAAATCTCAGCTATCAGGAGCTTTGAGGAACAAGTTCCTTATTTTAAAAAGATTTAACTATTAAACATTTATTTTCATATAGTTTGTTATTTATTTTCTGACTTTTTAAATAGTCTATACTGAGCAGTATTTAAACTTGCATTGGTAACAATACAATTTCATCATTAGTATAGTGTTTTCTTTGTTGCATTATTGATTTCTAAGAGTATTTACTTTTCTAATAAATGTCTTTAAACCACTGTTTGTCTTTTTGTTTATTAGAATTTAACTCTCTTTTTCTTTGTGGCCAATTTCATAAGACCCTCTTTATGTATTTTCCAATTATTCATGCCACTACAGTAATGTGAAAAATTACCAAGAAGTGTTCATGCTTCACAAAAAAAAGAAAGGTATATATGCACATTAATTCTTTGTAGAAATGGAAACAACATAGAAACAGTACAAATAAGAAAAGCAAGCCAGAAAGAAATTTGATACTTCTTTTTATATTTTATGCCCTCAGGTCACTTCAGTGCATAGCTCAGCCTTCCTACTGGAAGGACCGTTCTTGTCAGTGCCTTGGTACAAGTTACCATCCTGTTATTGTAAAAATAAATAACAGAAGCATATCATGCTGTGTCTGGGTACCATTTTAATCTCCTGGGAGGCCTTATGAATGTTGTTAAAGTTAAGTCTTCTCTGGAGGGTATTTCACCTGATTGTTAAGTTCAGGGACACCTTCACTTCTTACGGGAGAGCCTGGGTTTGCTCCGTATCTCTAACTCCTGACTTCAGCGAAACAGCAGTGGTGGCTTGGTTAGTGGGCTTTCTGCCACCTGTGTGGACTGCTCAGCTTGAGTTCCTAGTTCCTGGCTTCAGCCTGATGTAGTCCCAAACACTGAAGGCATTTGAGGGGAGAGTCGGCTCTATCTGCCTGCCTGATGATCTTTTTCTGCCTCTCAAAAGAAAGTAAATTGATTCTCCCCACTTCCCTTCCCCGTGGTATCGCAACAATTTTACCAGTACTAGAAAAGGGAAGGAGTGTTTAGAAAATAATATATTGAAACCACTGTGTTGCAAGATCCCAGTTTGGGCCCATTTACAATGTTAATTTTAAAAGCAAACCTAGCAGACTATAAAAATATCCTCAGGGCTGATGTCTTGGCATAGTAAGCTAAGCTTACTCTGTTTGCAGCTCCAGCATCCCATATGAATACCATTTCTTGTCCTGGCTGCTCCATTTCTGAAGCAGCTCCCTGCTTTTGGCCTGAGAAGGCTGCAGGAAATGACCCAAATCCATGGGCCCTCACCCCCATGTTGGAGACCTGGAAGAAGCTCCTGGCTCCTGGCTTCAGATCGGGCTAGCCACAGCCATTGTAACTATTCAGGGAGTGAAGCAACACTCTCTCTCTCTGCCTTTCACATTAAAAAATAAATAAATAAATAAAATAAATTTAAAATCTTTTTTGAAAAAGTATTTGTCCCTCATATTTCAGATGAATGTCCCACCTCAAGTGTCACAGCTACTAGCCAGGAGTGTCAGATTACTAAGAACATGTTAGTCTAGTATTGTGTAAGTTCCCATATACTGTTTCAGTAATTACCACATCGAGAGTGTTGTGTTAATAGATGAGATCAAGCATGGGCTTTTGGGTGAATCTGCTTCAGTTCAAATTCCAAATTCCAGCTTTGTTGCTTGCTGCATGACCTTGATCAAGTTAACTCAGCCTCCCTATTGTTCCTTTCTTTTATTTCAAAAATGTAAATAGTAATACTATTGATGTGGAGTCCTAGGGTTAATGTGGGAATTACTACTGTATCTCCTGATACTATTTCTATTGCTGTTACAAATAACTCTGTTATCGAAACGACTGTGTATGGCTTGAAGCTTAACATTTTTGCAAGGACATTTAGGCTAAGGTTAAAATGTCCATATCACAGTGCGTGGTTTGATGCCTAGCTCCATCTCCTGACTCCGGCTTCCTGCTATTGGAGACCTGAGGAAGTATCAGGTAGTGGTTCAGTTTTTTAGATTGCATTCCTGCCGCCCATGCTGGAGACTCAGATGGAATTCCAGGCTCCTGTCTCTGGCCCTGGCCCAGCCTCATCTTTTAAAGGGAATTTCAGGAATGAATTAGTGGGTTGGAGCTTATTTTCTTTTCCTCTGAAATTATTATTTTTTAAAAAGGATAAAATTTTAGCACTAGTCTAAGCAGTGCAAAGGTAATTCAGTAAGGTTTACAGTTATACACTTAGTACAAGTCACTGATAAAATGAAACTTGGTCTTTATTTTTAGATTATTTTTCAAAATGGATCCCAGGCTTTTATCACTGCTGGCCCTGTGTTGATTCCTCTCATTTGAAACTGCTTAAGCTATAATGTTTGGCCAAAAGCTGAGATACATGATTTTTTTTCTTTTAGCTTTGCTATATTTTTATAATTGATTACTTAAACATTTTTTTTCTATGAGGTTTGTCTTGTTCCTCTTTGGGGTGAAGAAGAAAACTGTGTCCCTTCCTCGGATCAACAAAACTTGCTGGACAGTTTTCAAGATTCCAAACAGCTAGTAAAGAAAATATGGTATCGTGTAATGGATGATAACTTGGTTGTTGGAGTGCAAACCACATCTTCTTTGAAGGCGTAAGTAAATTCTAACATCATAGTACTGTTTCAATGTTCTAGAATAGTGCTGTGCAAAGGAAATTACACAAGTAACATGGTTTGACTTTCTGAATTGTTGGGGGCCGTGCAGTTGGGGTGAGTGACACAAAGGTGTGAAGAGAATGGCTCCTCTGCTGGCAAGGCCACAGGGAGCTTCCAAATGCATGGCAAAGCCTGATGAATGTCTCTGGAACTGATGTGAGCTTAGGAACTAATGTCATTACTAATGTCTTAGTGAGCGGGCCTTTAACAATTTGTGCTGTCTTGCCCACTGTCATGACCCCTTGGCTAGAGGAAGTCAAGGATGCTTGTACTAACATTGTAAAATGTGCTTTCCAACTGATTAAGGCGTTGTAAAGCCCATAGTTGTAATGGGATTTAAAAGTTTTTTGTTTTTGATCTTTATGTTTTTTCCTTTATGATATATTTTCTCCTTTAAATGATACATTATAGTAAGAGAAATGTAATAGGAGTGAGTTTCTGATTAATACATGCTGCCAGCCCAGGAGTTCCTGGCTGTAAGGTCACAATGGATAATGGCCTGCCTTGAAGTAAAATGATTTGCAAAATTATCTTTGAGAACACCCACTTGGCCCTGAAGCTAAAAAGTGTATATAAAAGCTGAGGATGATTTCTGTATAAATAAAGGAGACAGCTTCCTTGCATTGTCCATCATGATCATTGAATTATAATGGTCTGTTTCTATTTCTCACCAACTCTGAACATCTCCTGTGAGCTATGAACTCAGATGGAGCTGATCTCTAGCACTAAATGTCTAGGGGCCTTATTGAAGATGTGAATAGCATCAAATGAAATGAATTTTAATGGTAGATTTTATTTAACCCAATATACCCAAAAGATCATTTCAGCATATAATGAGTATAAAGAATAATTGAAAATATTATAAAATATTTTATGCTTTTATGCAATCTTTACATTTCAGATTGTCTTTATTGTAGTTGCAAAGAAATAATTAATTTCCTTAGTTTTAGTTTGTTGTTTTTTTTTTTAATTTATTTGCTCCCATTTGAAGTTTCCATCTGCCATGTAGGTATTGCCTTCACTATGAAACTGCTATGTAAGACTAATGTAAAATACAAATTAGAAGCTAAGATAATCCTCTTTACAGTATTCAGAATCAGTGGGGTTTTTTTTCTTATTTTTTTTTTTAATTGGGAAAGCAGATTTAGAGAAGGAGGAACAGAGAGAAAGATCCTCTGTCAGTTGGTTCACTCCCCAAGCGGCCCCCAATAGTTGATCCAAAGCACAGGAGAAGGAGCCTCGTCCGGGTCTCCCACGCGGGTGCAGGGTCCCAAGGCTTTGGGCCATCCTCCACTGCTTTCCCAGGTCACAGGCAGAGAGCTGGAAGGGAAGCAGGGCTGCCAGGATTAGAACCGGCGCCCACATGGGATCATGGTGCTTGGAGGTAGGGGTTAGCCAATGAGCCATAATGCTGGGTTCTTGGTGTTTTTTGTTTTTCTTAAAATTTTATTACTTGAGAGACTGGGAGAATATTCCCATCCACTTATTCATTGTCCAAATTCTCGCAGTGCCTGGACCTAGGCCAGACTAAAGCTGGAGACTTAGCCTGGCCACAGAGGTGACAAAGACCCAACTACTTCCCAAGGTATACATTAGAAGGAAGCTAGAATTTGGGGCCAGACACTCATATAAGGCACATGGGCATCAGCCAGCATCCTGGCCACAGGGTCAAATATTTAAATGTTAATGTTTTCTTTTACATGTATAATACATGTTAGTTCACAGCAGCCCCATTTCTAGTGCTTATACTAGTCACATGTATCTAATGGGTAGTCTTGGTCAGCTCAGTTGTAGAAATCTGTTTGACCCAGTCAATGATAAGAAGAAGGTGATGTTTTGAAAATCAAGATGCTCGCCCAGCAGCGTGGCCTAGCGGCTAAAGAAAATCAAGATGCTTGGGCCCGGCGCGGTGGCGCAGTGGTTAAGGTCCTCACCTTGCATACCCGGGATCCCATATGGGCGCCGGTTCTAATCCCTGAGGCCCTGCTTCCCATCCAGCTCCCTGCCTGTGGCCTTGGAAAGCAGTGGAGGACGGCCCAAAGCTTTGGGACCCTGACCTATGTGAGAGATCCGAAAGAGTCTCCTGGCTTCGGATTGGCTCAGCTCCAGCCATTGCGGCCACCTGGGGAGTGAACCATCGGACGGAAGATCTTCCTCTCTGTCTCTCCTCTCTGTATATCTGCCTTTCTGATAAAAATAAAATAAATCTTTAAAAAAAAATCAAGGTGCTCTACTCTAAGGGTTAAGATGTGCTATGCACATAACTTTCTAATCAGAATATTTTGAAGTATAAGGAGCATTTAAAGACAACTGGCAAAATTGGAGAGATGAAAACTCCATGAAATAATAAATTATCTCTCTGGAAAGTTTTCGCCTTTGAGCTATAGAAACCGTGATAGGAAAGTAATGTCTGTGCTATCTGCAGCCTATCAAAGAGCCTTTTAGCTAAAACAGGTGAAATACTCGTTTAGTCATTACGTCATTACATTTGAACCTCTCGTGTGCAAGAAAAGAGAAACAGTTTAGCACCTTGTACCAGAGAGAGGAACAACTTCATGCAGTAAGGAGCGCACACTCTCCAGCGTCTTCGAGATGTGAATTTATTTCTCTGTTCCAGTGAAATTGTAAGGAGTTTGGGGCTAGTGGATGTTGGGTTTTTCTTCTTTAGTGAAGTGAGTTGTATTTAGCAGTTCTCTATTACAAAAGCAGTTGCGTTCCCAAGCTAAACCCAAATTCGTTGTATCATTCTAGTACATTGCTGGATTGAGTTTGCTGAAGTTTGATCGGCATATTTGCATATCTGTGTTGTTATTTTTCACTATGGCATATTTTACATTTGAATAATATTTTCTAGGAAGGGAGAGAATAAGATTTGCTGTTTATTTTTATAACAAAGTGTTGTTTGCTTCTTTGTATTGCAGTTATTCATCTATATGATTTTGAGAAAATACACTTTTAGACTAAACCAAACTCTGGATTTTTTTTTACAGGTCTCTGAGTGATATGACTTTATCTCTGTTACTAGATCAAGCCCATCGTTCCGGCTTTCAGCCTGTTAAGTGTCAGAGCAAGGTGATTAAGTTGAGTGGGAATTCTTGCTCGGCCCCCCACTTAATACCATACCAAATAGGAACAGATGCAAAAAGGGCCAAGTTGATTTTTTCTAGTGAGCCAGAAGAAAAGTTTGTTTGTAAAAAACCATCCAAGAAAAGCAGTATACAGCTAATTACTGCTGTAACATCCCTTTCACCACTGTTAGCGTTCAATAAATTCTGTTGTATTGTGATGTTGCAAATTGGTACAAGCGAGCAGGATAACTCCACTGAAGATCGTTATATTTTGTGTGGCCAGCTTTGCTTGAATCTAGAAGATCTTTCAAATAGGACATGTTTGATGACATTTCCAAAGAAGAAACATTTAGGTAAATTTTTTGGTTCTTTTTAATCACATCCTTAATTGAATGAGAAAATGTTGAGAACTCTGTATTTTAAAATGTACAGTTACATGGTAGGGCTTTGATGTGTTTTTCTTGTAGAGAACATGGAGGATCTTTTTGCGCTTCTTACAGTAATGAACAAATCTTGTTTTCAAATCACATCACCTGACTATGTCCTGAATATGGTAAAGGTGTGGCTCTTAGAACACATGAATTGTGAAGTAATCAAAGATTTTCCTGAAATGTGCTTTTGTAAAAGGCCTGGAAGTTTCTATGGGACAATCTTCAAGTGGAAGCAAACATCACCATTTGAAGGACTTTTAATAGTCCATTCCAGGTAATGCATATCACATTGAAATTGATCCAGTAAAGTCAGTGTATAAAAAGGTGGAGAATGAATGGTCCAAACAGTGATTACCGACTGACAGTTCCACACTATTTTGGGACACGTCAGAGCTGTGATCTGGTATGGCATAAACAGACAGGTATAGCTTCATTTAAAACTTTTGGTTGTTTTTGGCTTTGGGGATTTTTACTTTGTTTTATTTTGAAGGTTCACTTTTTTAAAAAGGCAGAGTTATGGGGCCCAATATAGTAGCCTAGTGGATAAAATCCTTGCCTTGAATGCTGCAGGGTCCCATATGGGCACCAGTTCTACTCCTGGCAGCCCCACTTCCCATCCAGCTACCTACTTGTGGCCTGGGAAAACAGTTGAGGACGGCCCAAAGCCTTGGGACCCTGCATCCACGTGGGAGGCAGTTTCCTGGCTTCGGATCAGCTCAGCTCCAGCCGTTGCAGCCACTTGGGTGAATCGATGGACGGAAGGTCTTCCTCTCTGTCTCCCTTTTCTCTGTATATCTGACTTTGCAATATAAACAAATAAATAACAGAGTTATGGAGAGAACAGGTGAGACAGAGAGGGATTTTCCATGCTCTAATTCAGTTTCCAAATGGCCGTGACAGCCAGAGCTGAGTTGGCCCAGAACTAGGAGCCTGGATTTTCAAGACTCCTTTGGGTCTTCTCTGGCTGGCCTGAGGACTTGGGGCTGTATTCACTGCTTTCCCAGGCCACAAGTAGGAAGCTGGATTGGAATGGAGTAGCTGGGATGAGAATCAGTGTCCACATGGTTCATTTGCTTTACAGGTAGAAGCTAAGGCTACTATATATATATATATTTTTGTTGTTGTTGTTGTTAAGATGTATTTATTTATTTATTGGAAAGGCAGATATACAGAGAGGAGGAGAGACAGAAAGGAAGATCTTCCGTCCGATGGTTCACTCCCCAAGAGGCTGCAATGGCTGGAGCTGTGCCAATCCGAAGCCAGGAACCAGGAGCCTCTTCCGGGTCTCCCACGCGGGTGCAGGGTCCCAAAGCTTTGGGCCGTCCTCGACTGCTTTCCCAGGCCACAGGCAGGGAGCTGGAAGGGAAGCGGGGCTGCCGGGATTAGAACTGGTGCCCATATGGGATCCCAACACGTGTAAGGCAAGGACTTTAACCACTACGATGTCGTGCCAGGCCCAGCCTACTATATCTTGACACTTGTTCTTGGCTTCTAGTTTTGGGCCTACTTAGGATAATACATGTATATTATCTTCATTTGTGCTTTTATCACATAGCCAAAAATTTCATCTGAAACCTGACAAATATTCTCTAACTTGGTGGGCAACTACATTATTGGTTCTACTCGTTACAGTTTTCATGAAGGAATGTCAGTTACTACAGGATTTGAATGTGAATGCTCATGCTGTCCAATTTGTATATTACTTTTATTATTTTTTTATTCCAGGAATCACACAGTTTTGTTCCAATGCCTTCATGATCTTATTCAACTTCTCCCTGTAAACAGTTTCTTCAGGCGCTTAAGATCAGAACATGAAGATTTCCTAATTAATCATTTGGCCTTGACTGTGGAGAAGGAGCTGCTTCCCCTTGATTCACTTTCTTCCATTTTTACTAAGATTGAAAGCAATATTTTGCAGAGCTGTGATGATGAAGAGCAAGATATTTATCTGTGTAGGAAAGAACTTCAGAGAAAAGATGGAATATTGAGAAAATATCAGAAAGTGGAGGGGGGTACTTTTTATAGAAAAATTCTTTTCAAAGTAGCTGAGTGGCAGTTAAAATCAGACCTCACAGCACAGAAACTGACTCATTTATAACTTTTCACTTGGTCATATTCTAAAATAGATTTCTACTGCCAAAAACTCTTGGTCCCACTTGTTACATATGGCCTTTCTAAAAATAGATTGAGTTTTAGTGGAGCACGTTCTTACTTTGGGTCATGCACAAAGCAGTGTGTGTATAGCACGGCAGGTGTCTGCTGGGGCCGTCTCATGTCTAAAGGCTTTGTTTTTTTTTTTTTTTTTTTTTTTGGTTTGTCAGAGGCTGCAGGGTCAGTGAGGGCTGTGCTGGGAGTAGCTGATGAGTAGAAAAATCCAAGAAAAGGCCACTTCGCCATCCCCACACAGTGGTGGTAATGCAGACATTGAACAAGGATAGAAGTGACTAACAAAATCGTGGTTGAAGTCTTTTAAAAAAACGTAATCCTCTGCTTAATAAATGTCAAGTAGATAAATTCAGGAAGGTTGTCAGGATTTACAAGTTTCTCCGAATATTAAACTCCCCTGAAATTTTTAATAGCAGCATATCTAGGTGAAACTATTAAAATGAAAGTTTTCAAAACCTTGTTAATTTAAATTTATTAGGAAGCTGCTCTGAAATTATGTATGTATATAGCAATGTGAAAATCTTAAGGCATTTTTTTTCTGAAAAGTATATCTCACTCAAAAGCTTAGGTCCACCTCACAGGATACTAGTTTAAAAATGCTCTTCAGCCATCTGAAATCCTAACTAGGCAAAGTTGAAATATAAAGTTTTAGCTAAAGTGACTTTAAGAATATAATGCTCCAGGCCCAGTGCACAAAAGCCTAGCCGCTAAAGTCCTCACCTTGCATCTGCCAGGATCCCTTATAGGTACCGGTTCTAATCCCAGCTGCTCCACTTCCCATCCAGCTCCCCACTTGTGACCTGGGAAAGCAGTCAGACACGGCCCAAAGCCTTGGGATCCTGCACCCGCGTGGGAGACCTGGACGAAGCTCCTGGCTTCCGGCTTTGGATCAGCTCAGCTCTGGCCATTGCGGCTGCTTGGGAAGTGAATCAGTGGATGGAAGATCTTCCTCTCTGTCTCTCCTTCTCTCTATATATCTGCCTTTCCAATAAAAATAAATACATCTTTAAAAAATTTTTAAATATATAATGTTCCTGGGGGAATTAAAAACTTAAAAATAAGTAAAAATTCACTTCTTAAGAAATGATTTATAAGTGAGCCTGTAAGAGATGTTTCAAAGGGATAAAATTTCAACAGCTCTGTTTCCACATATATATATATTAAATATGTACACATAACATATATATGTTAAATATATATATAAAAAACTAGGATTTGTGGAGCAAGAGTATCAAGAGAGGGGGAAAAAAGCACAAAGGGATATGGAAATAAAGAAATGCTCCTGGTCCTTTGTGCTCTAAAATCCGTAAGCAAAATGTAAACTCCCAAGCCAGTGGAGGCAAGTAAAGATGACTGCAGGGCATGGTTTCTCATGCTGCAGACTATGAAGTGACAATTGCCCTCTTTCCTTGCAAGTATATGTACCTGGGCCTGGTGCGATGGCTCGATTGGCTAATCCTACCCTGCAAGTGGCCGCATCCCATATGGTCACCAGTTTGTGTACCAGCAGCTCCACTTCCCATCCAGCTCCCTGCTTGTGCCCTAGGAAAGCAGTTGAGGACAGCGCAAAGCCTCGGGACCCTGCACCCACGTAGGAGACCCGGAAGAAGCTCCTGGCTCCTGGCTTTGGATGGCTTGACTCTGGCCATTGAAGCTATTTGGGGAATAAACCCATGGATGGAAGATCTCTCTCTCCCTCTCTATCTTTTTCCTTCTCTCTGTAAATCTGCCTTTCCAGCGAAAATCAATACATCTTAAAAAAAGAGGAAGATGTGTTTGTACTTAATGAACTGGCCATGCAAATGATTGGTAAAGAATATTGGTTATGAGTTTCTTGGTGTTTACCATTGTCCATACAGTGCACCTCCTCCTTTTTTTCTGTTGAGCCAGTAGAAAATGAGATTGAATTCTACAACTTGCTTTCTGAAATGGCAGTGGGAAATATTTTAGACTTTTCAACTGGAAACGGAATGAATTCAGGACAAATTTTGGAAATCTGGAAACAGCATGTATCATATGCTCACTTTTCAAACTGCCTATAACATGTTTTGAAAGAATGATTTAATGTAAAATACATGGGGAATAAGTTGTGAAATGGAGTGGTCAGAAGGTGAAACAAAACAGAATTGTAATTGGTTGTCTTTAGGCAACTCAGGATGCTAAAAAAAAATAGTATATTCCTTATTTTTTATTTATGGATATAAACAAAAACTAACATGCCTGCTATACCACAACATTGGCCCCTTTAAAAATATAACTTTGAAGATAGTAGATCAGACTGAACTTCTCAACCTCATTCTGCAGTCACTGCTTCTGCATGTTTTGATCACAGAAGTGAGCATAATTTTAAATATTGGGGGACCAATAAGGTCTCTAAGGGGCAAAGTAAATTTTGGAATGACGAGAGTGTGAGGTGGTTTGGTGCAAGATAATAAAGTGTTGATTTAAATGAGCAAAGGTAAAGATGAAGCCGTTTGTTACAGAAATGTTGAGATGTGCAGTCAGCTGGACTGAGTTTACCAGTCATTGTTACACCATGGGTAATGAGAATCAGTGCAGTTGAGCACATGTGTGTGTGTGTGTATGCAAATGTGTGTGCAGAAGGACACACGTAAGCCTAGACTTGCCCTAGATCTAAACTAGAATCAAGGGTAGGACTTACCTCCCCGTATTTTTCAAAGTGACTGGTGTGATTCAGATGTTCAGCACTACTTCAAACCCGTGGAGAGATGCTCAACAGGAGGAGGAGCGAGGTCAGAGGGCACTCTTGGGCTGCTCTTTCGATTCATGACATAGAGAGTTTCAGAAAGAGAGTGGTTTGACTCCTTCAAACAATCTATCCTATTTTGTAAGAAGTTTTTCATTAAATGGGCTGAACTCAATGAGAGCAATCTTCCTTTACCCTAAAACTAATTCTGGCCCATCCCTATAATTTCCTTAGCACTTGTAGGTACTGGAGTGCAATCTTGTCTTCAGGGATTGAGAAGTTCAGTCTGATCTACTATCTTCAAAGTTATATTTTTAAAGGGGCCAATGTTGTGGTATAGCAGGCAAAGCTAACGCCTGTAACACTGGCATCCCCTATGGGTACTGGTTACTGGGTACTGGTTTGTGTCCTGGCTGCTGCACATTCACTGCAGCTCCCTTTTCATGGGAACAGCAGTGGAAGGTGGCTCAAGTGCCTGGCTTCCCCCACTCGCCTTGGAAGCCTGGGGAAGCTCCTGGCAAGCAGCTTCCAGCTGCCCAGCCCTGGCCGTCACAGCTACTGGGGCCTGAGCAAACACCAGATCTGTCTGTCTGTTCCTCTCTCTGTGTGTGATGCTTTCCAATAAAAATGTTTAAAAAGTAGAAACATAAATTGAGTAAAGGTAAATAAGATGTTTCTAAAAACTAATTTTATATAAGAAGATACCATAATTATACTAACAAGAAAAACATGCCTATAACAAATAATATGCAAGACCTAAATGAAGAAAATATTTAAATACTGGAAAAGGAAATCCCCCAGAAGAAAAAAAAAAGACCTTAAAAAAGTATTAATAATACATATTGTAATCTTGGATTGAAAGAGTAGATAGTCACTGACATGTTATCAGTTTTGTCAGTTTATAAATGTAACCCAATTTCCGGGCCCGGCAGCATGGCCTAGCAGCTAAAGTCCTCGCCTTGAACACGCCAGGATCCCATATGGCCGCCGATTCTAATCCCAGAAGCTGCACTTCCCTTCCAGCTCCCTGCTTGTGCCCTGGGAAAGCAGTCGAGGACGGCCCAAAGCTTTGGGACCCTGCACCCGCGTGGGAGACCTGGAGGAAGTTCCTGGCTCCTGGCTCTGGATTGGCATAGCATCGGCCGTTGCACTCACTTGGGGAGTGAATCATTGGACGGAAGATCTTCCTCTCTGTCTCTCCTCCTCTCTGTATATCTGACTTTGTAATAAAAATAAATAAATCTTTTTTTAAAAAAAAAAAAGAAATGTCTCACGATGACTAGATACTTGCTAGCTTTTGGTTTTTCTGCTGACAGGCTCTGAATCAGGCATGGTCTAAGTGGATGGCTTTTACTTAGGGCTAGGAATTAGGACCCTTGGAAATGCTGAAGGGCCTAACTACACAAACAGTGGCATCTTGGAATATTTTCAAGGTTCTGTGGCTTCAAAGCAATGTGAGAGCCAGGCTCCAAACTTCTTTTTTTTTTTTAATTTTTCTTATTATTTTTTACATTCTATGTACAATTGCATAGGGTCTGGAATTTTCCTACCCCCTCCCCAAATTTCTACCCTGCGACTGATTTTCCCCATATTATTATACTTGTATAGTCCTTCATAAATAGTCATATGTCCATCAGTCTGTTATTTAAGTATGCTGACATTGCTGGTACAGACAATGGCAGAGTCTAACATCCTATTGCAGTATATTTTTAACAGTTTCATTGGGAGTCCATCTTTGTCTGGAAGTAGAGATGCATACTGCATTGTATCTTCACATCTGGATATAATAGTTGCCATTACGCCGCCAAACTTCTAAAGGCCCTAAACTTGTAACTGGCAAGTTTGAAACCTCTGTAAATTAGAAAGTGTCATCAGGGGTACAGGCTACTGGAAACACATGGCTGCTTTTCCGTTCAGCTGGGTGAAGTAAGGGCCTGTGGGTGATCGCCCCTGGCTTTCTATTTGGTTGGCCCATGTATAAGGCCTAGGCACAAGGCGCACTGTGTCCCCAGAGGAACCCCCTGACAATAGACTCCAACCTGGCCTGTTCTCTGGGCAAGCAGCAAGAGCCTTGGGCCACACCCCAGCCTTTCTTTGCTGTCCTCCGGCAAGCTGTGCTGGGACTGCCCAGATAAGCAACTCAAAGAAGTCAAATGCAACCCATATCCTGCTTGATGATTGTGCCCGGAGGCACAGCTGTAGCGCAGGTGCTGGCCGGTGACCTGAGACTTGGTTGGAGGGTTCCTCAGTCAGCTCTTCTACCATCCCACTTTCTAATACTATTTAAGCCTGTCAGTTCCCCTAATAAACATCCCTCATTAGTTTGTC